GAATTAAATGGTCGGCGCCAGTAGGGGGGCTGGCCATTCCCGACAGGGGTGCAATTGCACCCCCCTCCTGACCCCCTACTGGCGCCGCCCTTGAGAACATAACAAGAAGCGAAAAAAAATGAGTAAAAGGAAGAATTTAATTTGAAGCTTTAACTTTATTGGCGGGTAAATTGTTGACTCCACACTCTTTAAAAAAAAAAGAATGAAGAAGTCTTTGGGGGAATAAAGAAGTCTTTGGGGGAATAAAAAAAAACTTTTGCTGCACTTTGTTTATATAAAGGCATTAATTCAATAAATAATTCGAATGAGAATAATTTTTCATCATCTTATTTCTCCTTCCAATAAAGTTAATTAAAATCCCATGCTTGATCCTTAACGTCAGATGCGTTGATTTGGAGATCAAAGGTGAAGATCAGATCTGAATAATGGAGGAAGTGTTCTTTGCCTGCAGGTGAAGATTCACTTGTTTATTTAATTAGGTTAGTGTTCTCAACAGAGACAATATAATACACGAAATTTTTTATGAAAATAAGCATCGGTGGTTCAGTGGTAGAATGCTCGCCTGCCACGCGGGCGGCCCGGGTTCGATTCCCGGCCGATGCAGCAAATTATTTTTATATTAAATTATTTATAATTTAAAAACAAAAGTGTAATTTTCAATGAATATCCCACAGATATTAACGATATATTATAAGGGGAACAATAAAATTATATTGCTCAATATTTTTCGATTTCACGTCTGGGATTACACATTATTTGATGCTGCCATTCAGTTATAGCTCTAAAATGTCGAAACTAGAAAATTTAACCGTATGTGAAACCTTGCAATAAATGTCAGAAACAGTCATCTTTAGGCATAAAACGAAACATATATTTAAAAACACTAATTTTTTTTGAAAGTGGGGATAAGATTTCTCTAAATTCTTTGAAGCCTTCTGGTGATGCCATGGATCGCCACCAAGCCCACCTTTTTGAATCCTCTTTTTCGTTTGCAGAGAGGTCACGTACGCACACTTAGAGTCTACAGTATTCTCCGGATGCTCCATGACGGGGGTGGGACGGGGTTACGCTTTGATGATGAAAGTGGGTATGATAGAGTTATCTAGTTTAAATACCATGCCAACGAAATAAACATTTCTTACTTGTATCCTGAACTTGGAAATGACTACAACACAACATACCTAACAGATATTTGAAGTGCAAGCTTTATAGGAAGTAGTATAAATGCAACTTAAACAAATTCTACAACTACAACAGCTGTATCTGCTATTTCATACCATACATAAGGGTTAAGTAAGCGCATTTTCATTGCATAATGTATAAATTTAATATACACATACGATTGTTCTTGCCCTATTTATTTTCTCTGTTTTATTTAAAAAGAAAGCTTGTCACCGAAATTTTCCATCAGCTTTAAAAGAATGTAAAAAAGCAAGATAAATATTTAATTGATGATATGTCTTGCACTTTCAAGTAGTTGAGAAGCAAAATAGGCGAAAATTAGGTAAAATTCTTTAATATCTTTTAAATGCGCATTTATTATTTATGTTTCTTTGTGATTAGTTCAACTCATGTTCATTTCATCACCTTCATGGCTATTATTAAACCAACAATTTAAAATAACAGTTTCAGTTCTTGATGGGATGAAATGTAATATTGTTAGGGCTATAAACTGTACAAACGCAAAATATAAATCACTGGAAGAATCTGCCCTCTGTTCACTGAAGCTCAGGAGATCGTTATATAATCTTATATGGTTCGCATTGCAAACCGTGCTCGCTACTAAATTAAACCCATTTGAAATATGTTCTAACGTGGAAGCTTAAGAATTTATATCAGTTGCTAAAATCTGTAAAATTAATTCATCTTTAGAAAATTAAAAGTTTTTAGTCAGAAATAAGTTGTTGAAATAAAAATTTTTAAATTGGAATAAATGACATGCAATAGAAACTCTTGGAGAAATTAAACTATAATTATATATATATTTTTTTAAAAAAAACAACGTGTATGACAGCACGTCTACTGCGCATTCCTTCCTTGTCTTGATATTTTTTTGTGTTTCCTTATTTGACCTTGACGCATTTGGTGCAGAAGTTTGCCTGGTCGCTGTTAGAGGATTTGATGGTCTCGCTTAAAGGTTTTCTTCAATACAAAATCTGTGGGAAAAATTCCCTGCCTCTCAAAAGTTGTCGCAAATACAGGTGGTCTTTTCTGGAGGTTTAACTGTAGGTGTTTTAATACAATCTCGTATGATTTAATGAAGTTTAAAAATTAATCAAATAAATCGTAGAAAAAATAATTATTTTATTAAAAGATTCTTTGAAATGCAAATATCTTCCCGTTGACATGTTTCAAATTCGAATGCAACTTTTTAATAAATCAATTCTTGTACTTCAGCATAAATAGTACTTTTTTTTTTTACAATGACTCATTGAGAGCTGAGCTAAACCAATCACGTACCTGTACACATTGTTGTGAAATTCGTTGTAGCTTGCATAGGCTAAAAGTACTCCGAAACCAGGACCGAGGGAAAAGAATACCTGTGTTGCCGCATCCACCCACACCTATAAAAAGAAAGACTAAATTAAAATATTGCAAAATAGTCAATAGAGCCCACACCGCCTATTTAATTCTGTGGAGATTTGATTTCACGCAATAGTAGATATTACAAACTAGCATATCCAGGCTTAGAAATAAAGGGTTTAAAAACTGAATTCCGCTGATTCTCAAAAAACTAAATTAGACACCATATTTATATAGTCCAACCTCAATTCATCGAACATCTTTCGTTTTCCCGTATATAAACTACAAAACTCAGTGGCACGACAGCCCGAAGAGGGCCAAGGCCTACTGTGTCCATCTCAGTTTTCTTGACCTTGGGCTGTGGGGTGCAGGAGCAGATGTTTCGGTCAGGTGGTCAGCCGAACGCGGAACCCCCAGTGTTTAGTTACCTGTGGCACGGGAGCGTGAAGCGCTACCACTTAGCCACCGGGCGTCTTTCCCGTATATACAGTTTGCAAATTGTTTAATTCCTCGGATGAAATTTTCTCTTTTCCTTCCAACGCTTGCCACTTTTCCTTACAATTACTGTTTTTTGTTTAGACTTTTCCGATATACAAAGAATTGTTCCATTTTCCTTATCTAGAATATGTGAACACCATAAAGTTTTCATTATGAAGTCTACGCTAGCGGTAAAGAATGTTTGCTTAGAAACGTTACTACAAAGCTGTTACTTGTAGCTCATTGGCTGAGAGATGAAATTAATTTTATATTCTACTTTAGAATCTCATTTGAGTTAAAATTTTGTTTTATTTAAATATTATCATTAAATATGAGAGACATTTTAAATTAATAATCGTAACCAAACATTGTACAGTGCGCAAAATTAAAAATGGACCACCCTTAATAACTTTTAAACTAATGATCGGATCTTTACGTTCTAGAACTCAATCTTGATAGTTCGAGAGGGTAACCTCAAATATGCTAATTTATTAGTGCCCACGATATTTTGAGTTAAGAAATCAGACACAAAATCGTACTTTCTCTGAATAAATATACCGCTATTTCGAAGGATTCAAATTTCTGACCTCCTAAATACATGGGATAGCCGAAATCTGGGATAAATGGTTCCAATAGTTTGATCCGGAAAGTGGTCCAAAANACCACTTAGCCACCGGGCGTCTTTCCCGTATATACAGTTTGCAAATTGTTTAATTCCTCGGATGAAATTTTCTCTTTTCCTTCCAACGCTTGCCACTTTTCCTTACAATTACTGTTTTTTGTTTAGACTTTTCCGATATACAAAGAATTGTTCCATTTTCCTTATCTAGAATATGTGAACACCATAAAGTTTTCATTATGAAGTCTACGCTAGCGGTAAAGAATGTTTGCTTAGAAACGTTACTACAAAGCTGTTACTTGTAGCTCATTGGCTGAGAGATGAAATTAATTTTATATTCTACTTTAGAATCTCATTTGAGTTAAAATTTTGTTTTATTTAAATATTATCATTAAATATGAGAGACATTTTAAATTAATAATCGTAACCAAACATTGTACAGTGCACAAAATTAAAAATGGACCACCCTTAATAACTTTTAAACTAATGATCGGATCTTCACGTTCTGGGACTCAATAGTAATGGTTCGAGAGGGTGACCTCAAATATACTAATTTATTAGTGCAGACGATATTTTAAGTTATGAAATCAGACACAAAATCATACTTTCTCTGAATAAACATACCGTTATTTCGATGGATTCAAATTTCTGAACCCCTAATTACATGGGATAGCCGAAATCTGGGGAAAATGGTTCCATCCGGAAAGCGGTTCAAAATTTGGATCCCTTAATGATAATTTTACTTTTCACATATTTCGCCACGTCTCGAGAAATTTTTAAGTAAATTGAAAAAAATTGCACACAATTGTAAAATTTGTCCATCCAGAGATAATTAAATGCAAAAATATAACTTTTAGTATATATTTATTATTTTTTATTACTTTATTTAATAATATTGAAATAAAAGTTTTAATTATAAGTTATAAAATTTTTTCACATCGCTTTAAATAATGCAAGCATAAATGGGAAAATTCATGAGCGAATTCGGCCGAATAGTTTCTGAGAAATCAAATTTTGAAAGAGCCGCATATTTTTTAAATTCAATATCTCAGGCACTATTCGATCGAATTTGCCCAAATTTTGCATTTGCCCAAATTTTATTTAATTATAAAAACAAACAAAAACATAAAAACTTTAATTCCATGTATTTTATTTCTAAAGTTTGAGTTTTTTAGAAACGTTAATTTAATTAATGTATATATAAATATGATATAATATGTTAATACGTGTATGTGATATAACGGTGTTAAGAAAATAACAGAAATTAACAAATGCCTTAAAACTCACTTTTCAAGCATTTATAAAGAATAGGAATGAATTTTCTTTGGTTAACACTGGATTGGTGTAAAATTTGGGAAATCTCTTGAGCAGCCCTTCTAACACATTTATAAAGCCTTAAACAAAACAAGACATCAGAAAATAAAGTTAAATCGCAGTTCATAATTACTTACATTTGCGTCTGCTAAAGCTGAGAAATTCGGAGTCAAATAAAATCTAATTCCATCAACTGCGCCAGGTAAGGTGCAACCTCTAATTAACAGCACAAATAAAACGACGTATGGAAACAATGCTGTGAACCAAACAACCTGAAACATAGATTGTAATACATTTTTTATTTAAAATGTCTATAATAACTAAAAAAAAATTAAGACTATGATTTCTGAAAGTATTATTTATTTAATAGCTAACAACCTGAATTATAGAACTGTGATTATTTTTTATTTAACTTCGTTCCTAAGCGGAAATAGCTCGTTTTTAATGAACATCTAAATTTTTGGACGAAATAAGTCATTCTTATCGCAAAGGAAATTTCCAAAGTAAGACTTTTGTTTATTTATTCATGTATTTCATACCTATTTTTTTATTATTATTTTTCGAGGAAGGACATTTGAGCAAATATTGGTTTTTTTAAGTTTTGAATAGACAGGAGGATAGAAACTCCATCTATCCTTTCAAAATCTGAGGATACACTTTATCGAATAGAATGTTTTCAGATGGAACTTTCTTAACACAGTTCGTTCAGTTTATATCCAGAATTGTACCGAGTACCGAGAAAACTTTAGCTAATACCCAATTGTTCGAATTGGGATAAATAACGTTTATAAACTATTTAAGTACAGCATCATGAATCTAAAGCAAGCCACTGACACCAACTTGATTTTTACCTTTGAGACAAACTTAGACCACATCGACTTGGAAATCGGTAGGGCATATATCAATAATGCTAAAACTAACCTTTTTCGATGTACCTTTTCTAAGAAACTACTTATATCACTTTGAAATTTTTTTGGGAATATTTGAGATTATATCAGTTGTATATGCTGTGATAATGATTTAGCGTTAACAGGATTATATTTTGAGTTATAATAGATTTGTGATAAAATTTTTTAAAAAAATATAAGTTCTCAGTTCGTAATTTTTTTAAAAATTTTCTTCCAAAGATATGTATTAACAATTATCACAGTGTAAACATGCATATACAAATATTCTGTGAAAAAAAAACTGAAGCAATATCTTAAGATGCTGAGAAAAGGTACATCGTAAAAGGTCAGTTTTAGCATAATTGGTATGCGTCCTAGCGACTCCCATTAAGATGGAAACTGACTGACTTTATCCTCTATATTCTATTTTATTTTATGACCGCCGTTGAACAGCCGACCCAATTTTTGGGTTCGCGACTACTAATGTTTAACGCCGTAGCCTTGTAATTTTGACCCAATCCAGAAGACAAGGAAACTCCTGGATCGGTACCCCCAGAGGTATTGAATTGTTATGGGTTTACGGAGGACTTTGAGACTCGACAGATTTAACGTGCATCAGTCACCATTTACTACACGGGGAGTCTTCGGCCGGNGAGGAAAATTTTTAAAAAATTATAAGTTCTCAGTTCGTAATTTTTTTAAAAATTTTCTTCCAAAGATATGTATTAACAATTATCACAGTGTAAACATGCATATACAAATATTCTGTGAAAAAAAAACTGAAGCAATATCTTAAGATGCTGAGAAAAGGTACATCGTAAAAGGTCAGTTTTAGCATTATTGGTATGCGTCCTAGCGACTCCCATTAAGATGGAAACTGACTGACTTTATCCTCTATATTCTGTTTTATTTTATGACCGCCGTTGAACAGCCGACCCAATTTTTGGGTTTACGACTACTAGTGCTCAACGCCGTAGCCTTGTAATTTTGACCCAATCCAGAAGACAAGGAAACTCCTGGATCGGTACCCCCAGAGGTATTGATTTGTTATGGGAACATGGAGGATTTTGAGACTCGACAGATTTAACGTGCACCAGTCACCAATTACTACACGGGGAGTCTTTTCGACCGGCAGGGACCGAACCCACGAACTCTTGGACATGGGCCCGGCACCCCACTGACCAGGCTATCCCGGCCTAGTAGAGACAATTTAATTTTACATAGATAACTAGCAGCGTTACATTACAGCCACAAAGAATGGACATCGACAATAACAGTACAATATAAAATAGCTAGCCACGTCACAGGTATTTTTTTNGATCTTTCGCTGTTGTTCATACCTCATGCACTTTATGTGACCACTGATGAATCTAGTGAACGCGGTCTGATCGCCTCTATTACCTTTGAAGGTCAAAGCACGACCCGGCTTATACCCAGAGTACCAGATATGTATTGGGGGAGTATTCTAGACTAGCTAGACGAATTTTAATTAATTACATAAATAAGAAACTTTATTAACAACGTTTGTACTGATCATCTTTACATCTATCATAAGTATATCTCAGAGTACTTTGGTTCTGTACTGGAAGCTATTGTGAACTAAATTTTGCAGTTGTACAAACTTGACCAATTTTTTTTATTTTGTTTTCTTAGTATTACATAAAGTAATATATTTCTTTAATTCTGGTCACTGGAAAATAATCAATAGCGTAAGACAAATCTGTAATGTTAATATGAAATTTGGTCAGATCATCTATACATTGATAAATTATCACATTCATTTGTTCATTCAACTCTGTAAATATGTTATGCTTTAATATACTCCTTACAACCCTTCTGGCTCACCCTCCACTGAGGTAAACAAAGTTCGAATCCCAGCGATGGCTGGTCGATGGCCATCCGGCTAGCACCAACCACAGTGCTGACGTAAAATATTCTCTGTAGTAGACGGATCATGGATTAGAGTCTCCTTGCCCTCAGGGTAGCCGGAGGGGGTGGGGGCAGTTTTCGTGGTTTTTCGCTTCGTGCAACGCTAATACGGGTTAGTTCTATAAAAAAAAAGTCCTCCAGGAAGGCAAAATTTCTCCCAATACTTGATCCAGGAATTCCTTTGTCTTCTGGCTTGGGTTCAAAACTACAAGGCTAGGGAGTTAAACATTAGTAGTTGTTAAACTAAAAATTGGGTCAGCTGCTCAACGACGGTTATAATGTAGTTACAGTAAATTATCAAAATAAAATTACTACGTTTGTTTTTGGGAAAGGATAATGGGTTGGATTATTAGTTTAAAAGTATTTTATGAAAAAAATTGATACACACTTTTTCTAACAGTACAAAATATTACACCTTCAAGAAATCTATGCATTAAATTTAAAAGTTTTGGTAGATTTGGAACTTGGCAATTTGCATTCATTTTCATTTTGTTTACTATTTAAAAGTTGTCAGATATTTTTACCTGAGAAGTAGTGACGTAAGATTTATGAATTAATTTTATGTCAACAGAACAGGTCATAACATTGCTGAAGCAAAAACGTAGAGTATAAAAAAAGACCTTTTGAAAATATTAAAATAATTAAAGAAAAATGATTACACATAAAACAACTGCATATTTTCTGTTAAAATTATTCTCAGTTTAAGTCGTAAAGTTAAAAAAAAATTCTACAAGCACAACGGAAATTATTGAATTACTTTTTATTGTTAACATTGCATCGCATCCTGCATGGTAGTAATAACAAAACCTATATTACAATAATTCTTAAATAATCAAATAGTAGGGGAGAGTGGGGTCAATTGTAACATTTTTTACTTAACTATTTTTAACTAACAAAAAATCCAATATATTATTAGTATTAATTGACAGACGAGTAAAGTAGACTATCCTCTACTAGAAAAAAAAAATACCTTATTTTAAATGTTATTATAT